AAAAACTGTGGCCAGAATGTGTAGACAAAAGGGATTTTGAAGGGTTTGAGGCTATCCCTGAGAATCCTATGCCAGTTGAGGAATCCATTGTGGCATTGGGGAAGTCGTTGGGGTTGGAGGTTAGTGGGGAGGATGTGGAAGAGTTAGTGGTGGAGGACAGTGAAGAACTAACCACTGATGAGCTGCTAGATCATCTTGAACAGCAAGAGGGTAGACCTGAGGAAACTGCTTCGGGAGGAGGGAGAGAGAAATTGAAGAAGTTGCCTACTTCTAAGATAAAGGAAATGTGTGCAAAGTGGCTTGAAGTGCAAACCTTTTTTGATGAAAATCACCCTGACACAGCTACTGCAAGCCGTGTTGGCAACCTGTACACTGACAATGTTGTGAACCACTTTAGGAAAGTCATAAAGGAACGAGAGGTACAGGTATCTATGGACAGATATGTTGTGCGACAGAAGTCCAGTGACTCTGAAGCTGGTCCTAGTGGCATTAAAAGAACAAGGGAAGTAACCCTAGAAAAAGACTTGCTGCCTCAAGTGCTAATGGAAGGGGATTCCCCTTCTAAACACTAAGAAGATCAACACTCTCCCCCCCTCCCATCCCATCAATCATCACCAGATCTTCAATAAAGGTAAGTGTCATGTAACTCTGCATGTAATCTTCATTTTGTGTGTATTAAAATTAATATTTCATGTGGTAAAAAAATTTTTTTTCAATACTTTTGGGTGCCTTGCACGGATTAATTTGATTTCCATTATTTCTTATGGGGAAAATTAACTTGACTAACGATGAGCTCTCAAGAACGGATTAATATCGCTGGTTGAGGGTCCACTGTATATGTAATTTATAAATAGGAAATACAGTGGACCCCCGCTTAACGATCACCTCCCAATGCGACCAATTATGTAAGTGTATTTATGTAAGTGCGTTTGTACGTGTATGTTTGGGGGTCTGAAATGGACTAATCTACTTCACAATATTCCTTATGGGAACAAATTCGGTCAGTACTGGCACCTGAACATACTTCTGGAATGAAAAAATATCATTAACCGGGGGTCCACTGTATTTACATTTTAATTTATAAATAAGAAATATTTACATTTTAATTTATAAATAAGTAAGTTTATTCAGGTATACACAAATACAGTTATATACATAGATTATCATACATAGCAGCATATGTATAAAGTACCCAAGATAACCCAAAAAATTCAAGAGTGACATATTTCCATTGGTGTCCTTTTATATTTACACTTATATTTACTTTTATACTTACACTTTTATATTTACACTTACCTTGAAGGAGACGTTAGTTTAATTAGTTAGTTTGATGAAGGAGATGTTGGCAGAGGTTTAGGGTGGTGGAAGATAGTAGGGTGGTGTATGTTCAGAGATCCTATACACATCCAACAACATTGGAGAGTTACTCTCATGTTGTTTTTCTATCGCTTACTCACTTAACTTACTTGCTACACTGTTAATTCTACACTTTATCATTGGCTGGAGCTATAGCCTTTATCGATACCTGCTGCTTTAGTATCATACATGTTGTAGAATCACTGAATCACTACAGAAGGCACATTCTCCCCTCTCTCTTCCTCCTCTACTTTAGTACTTTGCTATGAGTTTTTTTCTTGAATTTTATCATGTTTCTCACCTTCTTTACCAAAGGGCTGGCACTAGGAGCTTCCTTTGGGCCCAGGGTGGCGTATTTAGCAGTTGCAAGCACAAAAAACAATGAATTATTATGAAATGTGTTGTATGAACCCATGGGGTGATGGTCACATGCTGGTAAACAATGGCACACTGAGTGTGAATAGTGTGGGAGACTGGCTTTGTGTGCATGCTGACGGGCAGACGCATACAATGAGGTCGCCGAATCACGAGTCCAATCACGAACTACGAAGCTTTAATTTTGCCGAAAAAGCTTGCCGAAAGTCGGATTTCATGAAAGTTGCGGATGCTGAACTGCGGGGGTCCACTGTATTTGCCCAACCCTAGTACTCTGCCCAAGAATTAAGATTTATTATTTGTTTAATGTATCATTAAATTCTTCCCAAATTTTATTAACCCTTTCAGGCTTTCGGACATACTAGTACGGCTTACACACCAGGGTTTTTGACGTACTAGTACGCCTAAATTCTAGCGCCCTCAAATCTAGTGAGAGAAAGCTGGTAGGCCTACATATGAAAGAATGGGTCTATGTGGTCAGTGTGTGCAGTATAAAAAAAAAATCCTGCAGCACACAGTGCGTAATGAGAAAAAAAAAACTGACTTTTTGGATTAAAACAGCGACTTTGCACTTCATTCTAGTTTTCCTGGTCTCATTTTATAGAATGGAAGATGTATTACAGAAATTGGGATGATTTTGACTGGTTTTACAATGAAAAGTACCTTGAAATTGAGCTCAAAGTAGCAGAAATGTTCGATTTTTACCAAAGTTCAAAAGTAAACAAATCATGCTATGCGTCCAATACACATCAACTGGTTAGTCTAATATTCTTTCACAAGTGCGCAGATATTATTTATACCATTTCTACACTAATGCAGTAGTCTGCATAACAGTAAATCTTCTATTTTTGTGAGAATAAAAATTCAAAGTGGAAAGCGAAAGAATGTAAGAGGGACGTCGGGACGTGACTAACGAACAGAGGAAATGTTATTTTAGTGCCAGGAATGTCTTTCTTGTTTATTCTGGACCCTATTTGGAAATTGGCATCTTTTGAAATTTGTGTGAAATTGGCAAAATTGCTAGATTCTGACCACTTTATTGGATAGTTGAAATTGGCAAATGGGTGGTTTCTTGTACTCATTCGATAGAAAAAATGGAGTTCTAGCGAAATAGTTATGATTTTTATCAACTAGTACACTGGAATTGGCCGACAATAGGGCTCAAAGTGGGCAAAATCGCCGATGCATAAACATTGTCAAAACCGCTAACTTCGTAAGAGCATAATTCCGTAAGTTTTCCATCAAATTTCATACTTTTGGTGTCATTGTGATCAGGAAAAGCTTCTCTATCTTTTCATAAGATTTTTTTTTTTTTTTTTAAATTTGGCGACCCTGAGAACAAGTCTCGGAGAGGGCCTGGCGACCCTGAAAGGGTTAATTATGAATGACTAATTTATATAAACCAAAGGAAATATTCATATTTTCAAAACTGCTTTTTATGAAACATGATTCAATTATATTCCTGTTGACCATGGACTTGCCTGATACAACTTTCTCAGCCTTTTGAAAATCAATTGGATGGTTAAAATCTCTCACATGAATAAATAGAGCATAAGAATCTTGTCCAGTTCTAACGCTATATTTATGTTGTTTTAATCTTAGTTCGAGACTTTTACCAGTGTGACCGGTGATAAACTTTACCGCTTGGAATTTCACTATTCTTTCACAGTGGTTGTTTTGCATATTCTGATATCACCTGTTTACTGTGATTTTATTGCATTATTTAGGTATGTATACTGGTCAGGAGCCTGTCGTAAGTCTGAGGCGTCGGTAAACGAGTACATCGCTAAGTGAGAAGAGGCTGTACATAGATGCATAATATTCTGAAGGAGGGGTGAGGAAGATGTGTGTTAGAGGGTAATCAAACAGTGATGTCAGCATGTTTCTGGCAGAAGAGTGAATGATGGTGAATGTTGTGTTCTCTTGGGTCACTCTGCCTTAATAAAAAATTGCTAGCAAGTAAAAAAAAATATGAATAGAGTCAGGGAAACCAGTTAGACAGACTCGAGTCCAGGAAGTGGGAAGTACAGTGTCTGTACTCTGTAGGAGTGAGGCTGTAGTTTGGAGGGTCAATTGAATTGTGATGTCTGTACATGACACCAAAAGGTAAATTTTAAAGACTCACCACTGACATTCTCCACTTGTAGCTCATTTATACATTTAAGCAATATCTGACAGCATTCTTTTCATGTTAATAAATAAAAACTAATATTTCCTTACTTTGAGCCTCCAAGAGAGGCCATTAACATGGAGAGGGGGAGAGTAAACAGGATCAGCCTTGTGCTGCAACTGTGAGAAATTGTTCATAACAAAGGTACTGCTGTCATACTGTGGCACAATTTCACTGTAAAAAAAAACACAAAAACATGACTTTGAGCAAGTGACAAAGTTGGTCAAGTCATTATTACATGTTTATAGCAATCATAAAAATATACATTTTAAAGATTTCTTTTGGAAATTATTATATTTCCTTGATAAATAAACTAAGTATAACATACAATATTGTACATTTATCAAGCATTTAACAACACTGACTTATTTCTTAAAAAAAAAAAAAAAAAAAAGGGGGGGGGGGGTCAGTTCAGTTAAACATTCAACCCCAGTAAATGCAAGGTCATAAAGATTAAGGAAGGAGTAAGAAGACTGGAAATGGAGTATAGACTAGAGGGACAGAGGCTGCAGACTTTACTCAAAGAGAAATACCTAGGAATGAGCGTAATGCCCATTATAAAGCTAGAGACTCACATTAGCCAAATAAGGCAGTTAATCATGCCCCTATATACAACATACATTAGGTCTATCTTGCAATATGCAGCACCAGTATGGAACCCACCTCTGAAAAAGCATGTTAATAAACCAGAGAAAGTGCAAATGTATGCACGAAGGCAAGAGAAGCTAATCGAACTGAACCTAACAACATTGGAAGACAGAAGAACCGAGGGGGACATGATAACGTACTAAATACTCGGGGAAATTAATAAGGAAGACAGGGATAGGCTGTTCTTATCAAATGTTTTGTTATGTTCTTATCAAATGTTTTGTTAGTGGGATGAATTGTAAAGGACCTGCCTAGTATGGGCCAACAGGCCTGCTGCAGTGTTCCTCCTTTCTTATGTTCTTGGGAGGCTAGAAACAGGAACTTGGGGAAACCGTTCAAGGTTAAAGGCACAGACGAAGCACGGGGATGTTAGGAAGTATTTCTTCAGTCTCAGAGTGATTGGGAAGGGAAATGATCTGTGTTAGGAAGTGGAGGTAGGTTTTATACATAGTTTTATAAGCAGGTATAACAGGGCCCATGAAGACTAAGAGGAGTGAATCTGAAGAGTTGCACGAGGCAGGGCCAAGATATGAAAATCAACCCCTGGAACCACAAATGTGTGACTACAAATAGGCGAGTACATAGTTCACTGCTTACCTCTGGAAATCAGCCGGTACAGGAGCAGTGACAAAGGAAGCCATAGGCTTCTTGTTTACTGGAGCAATCATTGAGTGGAGTTCTGGGGAGCGCTGAATCAGTTCAGATCTATCAAGCAAACAGTTCCAATGAATCACATTACAAAACTGTGAATATATGTGACCAACTTAGAAATTGTGTTCCAGTTTTTTAACTTACATAAGAGTTTTGTATATTTGTACTGAGGCTCAGCAGCAAAAAACTTTAAAATGTTCGTAACCGCCATTTGTAAATGTGGATGTGTAACCCAGGACATTGGCAAGTTGAGAGACCTGTGCACTGTATACTTTTCATTTAAGTATATGGATCAAAACTACAATTATTTTAATTAATATACATACAACACTTGACATTTGTGCTCTACTGAAATTTTTTTTTTTTTTCAAAAAGTCGGCCGTCTCCCACCGAGGCAGGGTGACCCAAAAAAGAAAGAAAATCCCCAAAAAGAAAATACTTTCATCATCATTCAACACTTTCACCACATTCACACATTATCACTGCTTTTGCAGAGGTCCTCAGAATACAACAGTTTAGAAGCATATACACGTACGTATAAAGATACACAACATATCCCTCCAAACTGCCAATATCCCAAACCCCTCCTTTAAAGTGCAGGCATTGTACTTCTACTGAAATATTTGTTGAAAATATGCAACTTCTGACTAAGCTCTTACTTTGAACAAGTGTGCAATTGGTGCTCAATCTCCTGCAGGAGGGATTCCAATTGCTCAGTTTCCTGCGTTAAAGAATTTTTTTGACCCATTAATGTGAGCAACTTTGACTTGAGCTGTGAGTCAAGCCGAGCGATCATCAGTTCCACAGCATTGCGAATTTCTCGCACCCTCTCATCCTTTGCAGCTCGAACAGATTCCACATTTCTTTCCTGTTATGAAAAGAGCAAAATAAAACCTAAGTATAGCACATAAAAACTGGTAAATTATCTCTATAAATTTCTTACTTAAGGAAATATATACTGTAAACAATATTTATGATGAAGCATACACAATATTACATGAAATGTGAATAGTATCTGACCAAAAATACATTTGATTCTTAATACATTTAACAATGGCTCTTAGAATATTACAACTTAAAACTTTTGCCATCAACTAAAACTTTGGCAACAGCACTCTTATATAAAGCCAGTCTTATAAAGGTATCAGAAATGTATATATACTACTAGTACTGGCTCTTAAACAACATAGTAAATTATCAATCCTTTACAAAATTATAGCAAATCTCTTTGTCAATTAAGAAAATCTTTTTTCAACAAACCAGCTGTATCCCACTGAAGCAGAGTGGCCCAAAGAGAAAAAACAAAAAGTTTATCTTTGTTACGCTGAGATGTAGCTGTGATATATACGTCTTTCATATTTGTTCACCTTTCTAATACAGTGGACCCCTGTTTATCGGCCGGTTTGGTTATCGGTCAACTCGGTTATCGGCGGGGTTTTCGGCACTCGGTTATCGGCCGTTTGCTCGGTTATCGGCAGTTTTGGACACGTCCATCTGCTAGCTGGGGCAGCTTGCGCTTCAGTTTGGCTTTGTCTCTCGGTGGCTGAGGAAGCTTCTGCTCATACATCCAAACATTTCGCTTGTTTACCATTGTTTTTAGTGGTTTTTCTTGCAGTGCAACTGTGAAATAAGTAACCATGGCTCCAAAGAAAGTTCCTAGTAAAGTTCCTGTGGTAAAGAAAGTGAGAAACACCATGGAATTTAAGCGTGAAGTGATAGAAAATTCTGAGTGGTATGGAGGTGGTGGAACTTGTCAGGATGTACAGCAAGAATAAATCAACAATTACATCCATCCTGGCAAAGAAAGAACAAATCAAAGATGCTAATGTTGCAAAAGGAGTAGCTATTCTAACTAAACAAAGGACACCAATAATGGAAGAGATGGAAAAGTTATTATTATTGTGGATTAAGGAAAAAGAATTGGTGTAGTGGAGTCGATCATTTGTGAGAAGGCAAAGCAGTTGCATGAGGATCTTGCAAAGAAAATGCCTGGAACAAGTGCTGCAGTTTGTGAATTTAGGGCCAGCAAAGGATGGTTTGATAGATTTAAGAAGCATAGTGGCATACACAGTGTTGTAAGGCATGGTGAGGCAATGTGGACCAGGGTGCAAGCTTTTGTAGAGAAACACCACCCTGACAAAGCTGAAACAAGCCATATCTGCAACATGTTTAGTGACAAAACCCTGTCCCACTTCAGGGAAATCTTAAAGAGATGCCAGAAACAGAGCACTCTGGGCAGTTATTTTGCGAGACAGGAGACCAGTGACTCTCAAGCTGGTCCTAGTGGCATTAAAAGACAGAGAAGGGAAGTAATTCCAGAGAAGAGAAGGCATTGCTACCTAAAGGCTTCATGGAGGGGGGATTCCCCTTCCAAACACTAACTCCTCCTTCTTTCCTCCTCCCTATCTTCCAGAAGCCAGCATTAGCCTTCAATAAAGGTATGTAATACTTACATAATTGTGAAAAAAATATTTTTTTTGCGAATATTTTTGTTTGGAACAAATTAATTTTATTTCCATTAATTCTTAAGGGAAATATTAATTCAGTTATCGGCCATTTCGGTCATTGGCCGACCTTCAGGAATGGATTACGGCCAATAACCGGGAGTCCACTGTATTACATTGTGATTGCCATTGTTAAATGCTAAAACGAGAGTAATCAGCTTTATAACATTAAATATTCATTTTCATCTTTCCCATTTTCATTATAGTATACATATATTTATTCTGGTGAGGAAATGGATCGTTTACCATGGGTAACTACCAATTTATGTTTGTGTGGCCTCGCCTCTGCATTACTCGCCTGATGTGAGCTGACGTCAGGGGTGAGTGGTGTGGATTAAGCAGTACAACACCTCTCTCAGTCTTGAGAAGGTCCTCTCTATTTACTCGTTTACTTTGACTGAGAATTATTCAACAGTACAGTATTATTCTCTCAGTCTCTTGAAAGTAGAGTATTTGTAAGACTCTCACCAAGTAAAATCTCTTTGGTGTTTAAAGAGATTTCAATTATAAAGCTTGGATCCTCTCTGGTTTGAGAGACCATGTAACATTATCAATTTCACATGTAAATACCCATTCAGTCAGAAAACGTAATTGTAAACGGTATACAAGTTACAAGTCTGTTAAGTGTTATTTCTTTATAAGTAAAGGTACCATTTTAAAATACCTAATAGAATATTACGTAAATTACGATATATTAAAAACAAGTTTTAATGCAGTCTTTTCATCACCCCATCGTACAAATCCTTTTTACGATTTTCCTATACTCAGGCCAAATATATTACAAATTCTAAGGTCAATCATAATAATCATTTTAACATTACTAATGTATACAGGAGAAAGGGTTACCAGCCCCTTGCTCCCAGCATTTTAGTTGCCTTTCACGACATGCATGGCTTACAGAGGAAGAATTCTCTTCCACTTCCCCATGGAGATAAGAGGAAATAAACAGTAACTAGTAAGAAAATAGAAGAAAACCCAGAGGAGAGTATATATATATATGCTTGTACAATATACATATATATATATATATATATGCAACTGATATATCGGATCATTATTTAGTTGTAGCTACAGTTAGAGTAAGAGGTAGATGGGAAAAGAGGAAGGTGGCAACAACAAGTAAGAGGGAGGTGAAAGTGTATAAACTAAGGGAGGAGGAAGTTTGGGGGAGATATATGCGGCTGTTGGCAGAAAGGTGGGCTAGTGCAAAGATGGGTAGTGGGGGGGGGGGGGGTTGAAGAGGGTTGGAATAGTTTTAAAAATGCAGTATTAGAATGTGGGGCAGAAGTTTGTGGTTATAGGAGGGTGGGGGCAGGTGGAAAGAGGAGTGATTGGTGGAATGATGAAGTAAAGGGTGTGATAAAAGAGAAAAAGGTAGCTTATGAGAGGTTTTTACAAAGCAGAAGTGTTATAAGAAGAGCAGAGTATATGGAGAGTAAAAGAAAGGTGAAGAGAGTAGTGAGAGAGTGCAAAAGGAGAGCAGATGATAGAGTGGGAGAGGCACTGTCAAGAAATTTTAATGAAAATAAGAAAAAAATTTGGAGTGAGTTAAACAAGTTAAGAAAGCCTAGGGAACATATGGATTTGTCAGGTAAAAACAGAGTAGGGGAGTTAATAGATGGGGAGAGGGAGGTATTAGGTAGATGGCGAGAATATTTTGAGGAACTTTTAAATGTTGAGGAAGAAAGGGAGACGGTAATTTCATGCACTGCTCAGGGAGGTATACCATCTTTTAGGAGTGAAGAAGAGCAGAATGTAAGTGTGGGGGAGGTACGCGAGGCATTACGTAGAATGAAAGGGGGTAAAGCAGCTGGAACTGATGGGATCATGACAGAAATGTTAAAAGCAGGGGGGGATATAGTGTTGGAGTGGTTGGTACTTTTGTTTATAATAAAGTTGGTAGAATTACCGACAATATGTAAAGTAAAAGGACACAAGTGCAACTAATGTGACATTTATTGTGGCAACGTTTCGCTCTCCAGGAGCTTTATCAAGCCATTACAAACAATACATGGACACAGAGGGTATATAAAGGCTCAGAGTGAGGTGAATACTAGTGAGGTACCATTCCGATGTTCACTAGTGATAGTAGTAGTAGTAGTAGTGGTAGTGACAAAAACAATTAATTCGTACACGAGTAAAAGGATATAAAAGCTATTACTTGGGTAACATAAAAATAGGTTGGACAAATATAAACTGGAATGAGGCAGGTTGTTTCAGTGTTCACTCTCTGTGCTTTGTGTAGTATAACAGGAGAGACTATGTGATGGCAGGGTTTACTGTTTTCAGGAGGATTCTTGCTAAGACTTCGGAGATGGTGAAGCTGCCGTTGTTTTGTTTAATTGTATTCGAAACAGCGATCAGTGCTGATTCAAGGCATTTGCGTGTGCGGAAATTAGTTTCTTTTATCACTAATTGGGCGTCTCTGAATTTCATAAGATGATTGGTGGAATTTCGGTGTTGTACACAGGCGTTGTTTAAGTTGTCGTTCCTACATGCGTATATGTGTTCATTGAGGCGGGTGTCGAGGTTTCTTGCTGTTTCACCTACGTAGATCTTGTCACAGCCTCCACAGGGTATAGTGTAAACTCCTGCATTGACTGGTTCGTGGTGCTTGGGTTTTGTCCTGGTTAGATCCTTTATTGAAGTGGTAGAGCGATGGCGACTCTGGTGTTGCTTGTGAAAGTACTTTTGAGACGTTTAGTGCAACCTGGCTGTTGGGAAGAATTATAACTTTGTTGGGAGCGGTGTTGATGCGTGGAGAATTGATGATCTGAAGAGCTCTTTTCTTGCAGTCTTTGATGAAAAAAGAAGGAAATTGTAACTCAGTGAATGTTTGGTGAATGTAAGTACATTCCTCGTCAAGAAACTCAGGACTACAAATTCGGTATGCTCTTAGGAAAAACCCGATGATGATGCCTCTTTTGGTCTTGGTATCTTGACTGGAATAGAAGTGTGTGAGATCATTTTTATTGGTGGGTTTCCGATAAACTTGAAATCTTAGGTTGTTGTTCTACTTTGTGAATGAGGATGTCGAGGAAAGGTAGCTTGTCATTGGACTCTTCTTCTAGTGTAAACTGAATCGCTGGTTCAACTGCGTTGAGCCCTTGCCTGAAGATCCCGTACATCAAAACGTTTTGGAGTTATTACGAGGACATCGTCCACGTAACGTAACCAAGTGACGCTTGAAGGGATGATGTTGGCGAAGTGTTCGGACTCTAGGTGTTCCATGTATAAGTTGGCTAGGACGGCACTTATTGGGACCCCATTCCCATGCCGTAGGTTTGTTTGTAGAGCTTGTTATTGAAGGAAAAACAGTTGAAGTTAACACAGAGTTCAATCAAGTCAACAAAATCTCCGGGAGGCAAAGGAAGATTAAGGTCGTGGTTGACTTTAAAGTCGTAGAACCTCGATGGCTTTTTTGGTAGGTACTTTTGTGAAGGAGGGAAGTCACATCCAAACTGCTTAGTTTCTTGTTACGGATGGAGAGGTTACGGATGCGGTTGAGAAGGTCGCCTGAGTGTTTAAGATGAGCGGGGCTGATGGTACCCAGAAGGCAGGAAAGATGTTTGGCAAGAACTCCGGCTAGTTTGTGTGGAGCACTGCCTATTCCTGACGTGATTGGTCTGAGAGGAATATTGTGTTTATGGGTCTTGGGTAAACCATACATGTGTGCTGGTTTAGGGTTGCTTGGTAACAAGTACAGAAGTTTCTTCCCTTCTCTAGTGCGTTTGAGTATTTGTCTGCTTTTGTATAGAAAGTCTTTGGTGAGCGTCTCCCACTGTTGAGTGCTGATAGGTTCGTATGTAGATTGATCATTCAAAAGGTCCATCATTTTAGTGTTGTAGTCACTGGTGTTGAGTATGACGACTCCACCTCCTTTGTCGGCGGTGGTGACGATAATGTTGGGGTCGTTGGCGAGGTCCTTAAGGGCAGTGATGTATCTTCTAGGAAGATTAGAAGAAGAAGGTTCACATAAAGCTGCAGTGAGAAGGCCCTGTATATAACCCTTCTGGAAGTTGCTGTCACTGTGTCTATGGTTCCTGGTAACAAGATTGAGTTGATAGTTAGGTTTGCGTATGTTGGTGGTAAATTTGAGTCCCAGACTCAGTGCTTGTTTCTCGTAGTCGGTTAAGGTGCGTGACGATAAGTTGTTTATCAGGGATTCGCGTCCCATTTCCTTCCACCGACTGTTAGTGCAGAATCCTCCTGAAAACAGTAAACCCTGCCATCACATAGTCTCTCCTGTTATACTACACAAAGCACAGAGAGTGAACACTGAAACAACCTGCCTCATTCCAGTTTATATTTGTCCAACCTATTTTTATGTTACCCAAGTAATAGCTTTTATATCCTTTTACTCATGTACGAATTAATTGTTTTTGTCACTACCACTACTACTACTACTACTATCACTAGTGAACATCGGAATGGTACCTCACTAGTATTCACCTCACTCTGAGCCTTTATATACCCTCTGTGTCCATGTATTGTTTGTAATGGCTTGATAAAGCTCCTGGAGAGCGAAACGTTGCCACAATAAATGTCACATTAGTTGCACTTGTGTCCTTTTACTTTACATACTTTTGTTTAATAAATGTATGAAAGAGGGAAAGGTACCTAGGGATTGGCGGAGAGCATGTATAGTCCCTTTATATAAAGGGAAAGGGGACAAAAGAGACTGTAAAAATTATAGAGGAATAAGTTTATTGAGTATACCAGGAAAAGTGTACAGTAGGGTTATAATTGAAAGAATTAGAGGCAAGACAGAATGTAGGATTGCAGATGAGCAAGGAGGTTTCAGAGTGGGTAGGGGATGTGTAGATCAAGTGTTTACATTGAAGCATATATGTGAACTGTATTTTGATAAAGGTAGGGAAGTTTTTATTGCATTTATGGATTTAGAAAAGGCATATGATAGAGTGGATAGGGGAGCAATGTGGCAGATGTTGCAAGTATATGGAATAGGTGGTAAGTTACTAAATGGTGTAAAGAGTTTTTATGAGGATAGTGAGGCTCAGGTTAGCGTGTGTAGAAGAGATGGAGACTACTTCCCAGTAAAAGTAGGTCTTAGACAGGGATGTGTAATGTCACCATGGTTGTTTAATATATTTATAGATGGGGTTGTAAAAGAAGTAAATGCTAGAGTGTTCGGGAGAGGGGTGGGATTAAATTATGGGGAATCAAATTCAAAATGGGAATTAACACAGTTACATTTTGCTGATGATACTGTGCTTATGGGAGATTCTAAAGAAAAATTGCAAAGGTTAGTGGATGAGTTTGGGAATGTGTGTAAAGGTAGAAAGTTGAAAGTGAACATAGAAAAGAGTAAGTGATGAGGGTATCAAATGATTTAGATAAAGAAAAATTGGATATCAAATTGGGGAGGAGGAGTATGGAAGAAGTGAATGTTTTCAGATACTTGGGAGTTGACGTGTCGGCGGATGGATTTATGAAGGATGAGGTTAATCATAGAACTGATGAGGGAAAAAAGGTGAGTGGTGCATTGAGGTATATGTGGAGTCAAAAAATGTTATCTATGGAGGCAAAGAAGGGAATGTATGAAAGTATAGTAGTACCAACACTCTTATATGGGTGTGAAGCTTGGGTGGTAAATGCAGCAGCGAGGAGACGGTTGGAGGCAGTGGAGATGTCCTGTCTAAGGGCAATGTGTGGTGTAAATATTATGCAGAAAATTCGGAGTGTGGAAATTAGGAAAAGGTGTGGAGTTAATAAAAGTATTAGTCAGAGGACAGAAGAGGGGTTGTTGAGATGGTTTGGTCATTTAGAGAGAATGGATCAAAGTAGAATGACATGGAAAGCATATAAATCTATAGGGGAAGGAAGGAAAGGTAGGGGTCGTCCTCGAAAGGGTTGGAGAGAGGGGATAAAGGAGGTTTTGTGGGCAAGGGGTTTGGACTTCCAGCAAGCGTGCGTGAGCGTGTTAGATAGGAGTGAATGGAGACGAATGGTACTTGGGACCTGACGATCTGTTGGAGTGTGAGCGGGGTAATATTTAGTGAAGGGATTCAGGGAAACCGGTTATTTTCATATAGTCGGACTCGAGTCCTGGAAATGGGAAGTACAATGCCTGCACTTTGAAGGAGGGGTTTGGGACATTGGCAGTTTGGAGGGATATGTTGTGTATCTTTATACGTATATGCTTCTAAACTGTTGTATTCTGAGCACCTCTGCAAAAACAGTGATTATGTGTGAGTGTGGTGAAAGTGTTGAATGATGATGAAAGCATTTTCTTTTTGGGGATTTTCTTTCTTTTTTGGGTCACCCTGCCTCGGTGGGAGACGGCCGACTTGTTGAAAAAAAAAAAAAACATGTATGTCTAGTGTGACCTAAGTGTAAGTAGAAATAGCAAGACGTGCCTGAAATCTTGGATGTATAGGAGACAAAAAAGACACCAGCAATCCTATCATCGTTTAAAACAATTACAGAATTCAGTGACAGGCTTTTGTTTTACAGTACTGTCCTGCCAAGTGAGTGTGAAATGGGAACCTGTAATTGTTTTACATGATGGGAGGATTGCAGGTGTCTTTTTTTCTGTCTCAAACATGTAAGGTTTCAGGTACATCTTGCCACTTCTACTTACACTTAGGTCACACTACACATACAGGTACAATCATATATTACACACCCCTCTGGGTTTTATTCTATTTTCTTACTAGTTCTTGTTAATTTCCTCTTATCTCCATGGGAAAGTGGAACAGAATTCCCCTTCTCATCACTAAATTTAAAAAGAGAAACTTCCGTTTTTTTTTTTTAGGTCACCCTGCCTCTGTGGGATATGGCCGGTTTCATAAAAAATACTTTAATAAAGTTTATTATGTCAGAATTGCCATGATCAAACATGAAAATATTTTTTTGCCTAAAAATAGTACTGTCTTATGTATAATTCTTACCACTTCCTGCACTAGAGATACCAGTTCATGCAATCTTCTTCTCAGCTGAGCTACTTCCTCTCTAATTTGTGTTATATGTTGTTCATATACTTCCTCTAGGGGCTTGAAGGTATGGCCTGAGTGTGTTCCACCCCAGAGTGCACACTGATGACATATACACTTCCCACATGTCCAACAGTATACACTTAATTTTTCTTGGTGTCGTTCACACCTGCAAAGAAACAAATTTAGTTTATCATAGTCACTATGCACACGACAAATACAATGGATTATTACAGGTTGACTATCACTAATTCGGCATCATTGGGACCTGTAGGGTGCTGGATTAGAGATTCTTCCGGATTACAGAGTGGTTAGGTTAGAATACACTTAAGCCAATGGCGATATTTATGCATCGGTGATTTCACCCAATTTACGCCCTATTTTTGGCCCATTCCATTGTTCCAGTCTACCAAGCTCATAGCTATTTTGCTAGTATTCCTTCTATTATTCTGTCGAGTGAGTACAAGAAACCGTGCAGCCATTTACTTATTTCAACTACCCAATGAAGTGGTCAGAAATCAATACTAATTTGGCCAATTTCACACAAATTTCAAGAAATGCCAGTTTCAAAATAGGGTCCAGAATAAACAATGCAGACATTCCTGGCACTAAAATAACAGTTTCTCTGTTCATTAGTCACATCTCCAGGCCCCTCTTATATTAAGCTTGCTTTCCATTTTGAATTTTTATTCACACAAAAAATAGAAGATTTACTGTTATGCAGACTACTGCATTATTGTAATAATTGTATAAATAATGTCAACCCATTCGTGACCACATATTAGACTGGCCAGTTGGACACACATTAAATGGTGACATCATTTATTTACTCTTGAACGTCTGCAAAAATCAAACATTTCTGCTACTTTGAGCTCAATTTCAAGGCATTTTCTTTAGTGAAACCAATCTAAATCATATCTATTTCTGTAATATATGTATCCTCCATTCTATCAACCATATAAATACACCTACCATCCGACTTACGACCGAGTTCGGTTCCGAGAAACCGGTCGTAAGTCGAAATGGAAGCGAGTTGAACTTTACTACTGAATATCAACATCACATTTTGCAAAAAGAACACGGTCGTAAGTCGAGTGGTCGTAAGTCGAGCAGGTCCTAAGTCGGATGGTAGGTGTACATACAACCATAAAAACCATACGAAAATACACTGCAAAGTCAATGCTTTACACCAAAAATATGGTCGCAGTTTTTTTCTCATTATGCACTGCGTGCTGCAGGATTTTTTATATAGTGCACACTTACCACACAGACCTATTCTCTCACATGTAGGCCCAAATTTACCAGTCACAGTTTATCTGAGTGAGCTGAGCTCATGGCAACCAACAGTGGCTTCAAAGCCACCTTATCTTTTATGGACAATGTACGGTGTATGTGTTTTACACAATGAGAAGCATTTCTTTTATTCGTTGGAACCATGGCTAGGGCTAAAAGTGAGCAAGTTATAATAATAAATGGAGAAAAAGAAATTGGAATGACTTTTACAGAAAATAGTGCCACCAAACAGTAGTGGCAGGTTGGTGTGGCAACCCTAGAAATTTGAAATTATGCTAGCCAAAATTAGTGCCAGATTACTGATGGAACCAGATTACTGACTGCTGGATTAGTGATAGCCAACCTGCATTATTATATTTATGTAAAGTGCTAAACCCATGTGAATTAGCACAAGACATGGTGAAGACTTAATTCTCCATCTGCTGAACACAAGAATAGTGAGAGAATAGTGTAAGAATAAAGTAAGAATAGTATATTGGTAAAATTGCTGATGCGTAATTAATTTTATGATGGCATGAAACTGATGTTGGTGCTGTTATCTTTGTCTGCTAAAAGGATAAGAAAATGGTAAAAGTTCATAACTTCTTTTTATTGCTTCATTTCATTCTGTGTGTATTTGTCCTGTCAGTGCATTTTGGTCTAAGTAATGAATTTCTCCACTAGAACATCACATTTGGACTGACGACTCTCTGATTTGAATACAGGTGCTGAGAGCATGGGCATGCATTCCTTTTTAAACCCTATGATTTAATACTATTATTTATGGAGTGGGCAAAATAATGAAATATAGTTTCATACTGTTCTCTCACGATTTTATCCCTTTTTATCTCATCATCTGTGTTTGAAACTCCTGTGCTTGTAAAATACTCCTAGTCTGCTTCCAATTTGGAATTCCTCAAAAAAAAAATTACAATATGTAAAAATCAGTGACCAGCACTGTCCAATAACAATACAAATCTTCGTTTTATGATGATGCATAAGTATTTATAGTTTAAGGTTGATCCAAAGACAATGACAAATATAAAGGAAAAAAATATGTTAACCTATATAGGAATCCTCTTTCTTGATAAACTTACCATTTATTAATCTGTTAGAATTATAAATACAGCACAGTAGGGCCCCGCTTTACGGTGTTTTGCCTTACGGTGTTCCACTAATACGCCGATGTCAAATTATGACCAAAATTTGCTATACGGCAAGCGGGCTTTCAAATATGGCGCACCCCACCCGGTTTGTTTACATTCTGCGTGACCACATCTATTATGTCTGGAAACTTTCCAAAATTTCAAGGGTTTTAAAGTTATTGTGTATTTTATATGTACTATGATAATTATGCTTATGTGTACCTGTACCTAAATATACTTACACACTGTGCTGGTGTGAAGGTACTCATTAAAATCGCTATGAGTCTCTCTAATCGTGATGCCAATACTTCGGAATAATAATCACTCTTGGGCACATTAAATGTCTTATTTTACATTAATACAGACATTTTCATTAGTCCATCTATGATATTTTCCTCAAAATTATATAAGAAACATGTCACATAGCATATAAATATGATACACTCACAGAATAAAAATTGATGTAAATATGAGATTTGTTTACAAAGTGGCTGTGTAGGTAGTGTCGGAAGAATTACGTTTTCTCTAGTCAAACACTGGGGGATAACTATAGAAAAATATTCCTTTCATATGCCTTCACTCTATATATAGCAATTCATGACCCTTGTGGGTTTAGTGCTTTTTTATGATGATAATAATAATAATAATAATAATAATAATATCATCTTAATTCACTCTAAAAATGGTGTGTTGCATGAGAATGAGAGTGTTGCTGTTTGTTTATTCTGTACTAACTTGTACACAATGCAAGAGTATTTGTATTGTGAGGTAATTAGTATTATAATACAAAAAATATTGTTAGGTAAAAGGTTTACAAACTCTTACAAACGTACGTGAATGAACTAAAAGTAGACACATATTAATACATACGCATTTATTTCGCCTGACCAAGTGATCGCCCACTACCTGTTCAGTTTGTGTTCTTACATTGTCTGAACTCTGTATCTCGTTCTCTCTCTCATTTACTCTTTAACTAGTTGGCTCTCAATGAAGATGGCGTCTAAGCTCAGCTGTGATAAAAAGAGGAGTAGTAAGCCTCTTGCTTTAAGTGCCAAGTTAGAGGATGATGGTATGCCATTCTGATTTTATTCAATAAACACCCTGCCTCTCACCTCTCACACATTAATATTAATATTTTAAGGTAAGTAATAAGTGTACTACGTGTGTATCTTACCTTTTATTGTGTTTTTAATGTATTTATATTGCTAACTTAATATAAGTTAGTGTAAACTTGTTGTCTGGCATTTAATGCATATTTTGGTATAAACCTTGGTAATAAATGCACCACACAGACTAGCCGGCCACCTTGCCAAATACCTTTCAGCGCTTCTGGGCACCATCAGTCAAGCCCACCTCAAACACTCAGGTGACCTTCTCTCCTGAATTTCCAACCTGAATGTCAAAAACAAAAGCATGGCTTCCTTCGATGTAACAGCCCTCTTTACCAACGTTCCTACTGACGCTGCAATCAACATTCTGAGACAGAGGCTCACTGAAAACCACGACCTCCCTTTACCTCTTCTAGATTTCATCAATCTAGTGGAACTTTGTGTTAATTTCAACTTCTTCAAGTATCAGGACAACTGTTACAAACAATGCTTTGGGATGGCAATGGGCAGCCTGCTCAGTGCTGTGCTTGCCAACCTCTTCATGGAAAACCTGGAGACAGAGAAATTCAGCACCCTCATTCCCAACACCGTTACCTGGCTAAGATACGTTGATGATATATTGGTTTTCTATCCGAGACGTCTCAATATCCAGGCCCTTCTCAACAAGATCAATGCAGTTGAACCATCAATAAAGTTTACACTTGAACTCGAAAATGATGGCAAACTTCCTTTCCTTGACGTTCTACTGTGCAGATCTCCCGACAGTGACAAACTTCTCTTCAAAGTGTATAGAAAACCTACCAACAAGGACGATCTTATACACTTTTATTCACACCAAGACACCCGCACTAAGAGAGGAGTCCTCATTGGCTTCTTCTTGAGAGCTCTTCGCATCTCCAGCCCTTGTTTTCTAGAAGAAGAATGCACTTACATAACACAAGCCTTTACACGTCTTCAGTTCCCATCTTTCTTCATCCGAGATTGCAGACTCAAGGCACAAGCTATCCTCAACAAACCGCCCATGGAACAGCCCCCTAAACAGTTCATAGTACTCCCATGTGGCGATGTTGCATCGAATACTCGCAGGGCACTTGCTATGAGTAACATCAACGTTTCCACCATAAACACATCATCTATCAAAGACCTCATTACGAAACGCAGCCCCACACCTCTAACTTCTACAGCAGGCGTCTACGCTATCCCCTGTGGGTTCTGTCCCAAGAAATATGTAGGCGAGACAGGCAGAGATCTTGCAGTCCGCCTGAATGAGCATCGAAATGCCTCTAACAGAGACGATGTAAGGTACGCATGTGTCCTCCACAGAGACTCCACGGGGAATTTGATGAACTGGAATGAGGCACAACTCGTTCTCACCGAACCAGACCTCAGACGCCGACGGTGCCTAGAAGCCTCACTAATCGCCGTCACCGACACTAGAACGCAACACTGGAAACTACAAAATTTCAAAAACATTGGCATACATGATACTTATGCAGCACCAACCCAACAACACAGGAGTCACGTGATTTCATCGTCTACCCGTCCTCATCATAGGCAGAGGTTGTTTTTGATAAGGACCTGCCTCGCATGGTCCAGTAGGCCTTCTACAGTGTTCCTCCATTCTTATGTTCTTATGACATTCCTCAGGTCACGTGCGTCACACCTCACTCTCCGCCTATATATAATGTCTTCCTACCTCTGTATGTTAGAAGTGATCAAGGTCCCAGGACCGAAACGTTTTCTAATAAATGTGTTATAGTGTTTGCTTGCGTGTCTTTCTAAACCAATGCATATTTTATATGTGCTCTACTAATAATATTTGTGGACCTGTGTGGTAGCCGGGCGAAGGGACAACATTACGTTTTCTCTGGTCAGGCACCAGAGAAAACGTATATGAATCTGTTGGTTTAGAAAGACACGTAAGCAAACACTATAACATATTTATTAGAAAACGTTTCGGTCCTGGGACCTTGATCACTTCTAACACACAGAGGTAGAAAGACATTATATATATAGGCGGAGAGTGAGATGTGACGCACGTGACCTGAGGAATGTCGTAAGAACATAAGAATGGAGGAACACTGTAGAAGGCCTACTGGCCCATGCGAGGCAGGTCCTTATCAAAACAACCTCTACCTATGATGAGGACGGGTAGACGATGAAATCATGTGACTCCTGTGTTGTTGGGTTGGTGCTGCTTAAGTATCATGTATGCCAATGTTTTTGAAATTTTGTAGTTTCCAGTGTTGCGTTCTATCACCGTCACCGACACTATAGAACGCAACACTGGAAACTACAAAATTTCAAAAACATTGGCATACATGATACTTAAGCAGCACCAACCCAACAACACAGGAGTCACATGATTTCATCGTCTACCCGTCCTCATCATAGGTAGAGGTTGTTTTGATAAGGACCTGCCTCGCATGGGCCAGTAGGCCTTCTACAGTGTTCCTCCATTCTTATGTTCTTATGACATTCCTCAGGTCACGTGCGTCACATCTCACTCTCCGCCTATATATATAATGTCTTTCTACCTCTGTATGTTAGAAGTGATCAAGGTCCCAGGACCGAAACGTTTTCTAATAAATATGTTATAGTGTTTGCTTACGTGTCTTTCTAAACCAACTTGTCGGTATTTATTACCAAGGTTTATACCATATGAATCTGTGTTTGGCCCAGCCACTCCCCCACTCCGTTTTTTGTTTACAATTTTTGGCATGAATTATTCATTACTTCTCCCTTTGTTTGTGATGGCATCTAAAGGTATTTGTTAGAAACGATTAAATTCAGTGAACAAGGTATGTCAATACTAATAATATGGCTCTGGGCCACAGTGTAGGTAGCCAGCTACACCTACTGGCTACCTACACTAATTTCCTACAAATAAAGACGTAGTACTACTCACCTCTCTTCCTACATTAAGAGTACACATATTTTAAGGAAAATACTGCATGTACTGTATGTGTATTTTAACTCTCTGGGCTGTTTTAAATATCATATATTAAGTATGAGACGGGGAGCCAGGGCTACCTACACCTGACTTCCTACAAATAAGTACTACTCACCTCTCACTCTACATTAAGATTACAAATACTCTAACCCTTAAACTGTCCAAACGTAGATCTACGTTCACGTGCATAGCGCTCCGGCCTTGATTTTCCTCATTTGAAAGCATGTAAAAAGAAAACGTAGGTCTACGTTCGGAGCCTGCCGCATGTCAACGTATATCTACATGTGGATAGTTTAAGGGTTAAGATAAGTAATGAATGTACTGTGTATGTATTTTACTTTTTGTGTTTTTAATGTCTAGTTCTATTACTGACTTAATATAATTTAGTGTAAACTTGTTGTCTTTCATTTATATGCATTTATAAATGATAAAATGGCGTTCTGCTTTCCGGCGATGTCTGCTTTCCGGCGATAGCCTGGAACCTAATCCGCCGTATAAGTGGGGCCCTACTGTATATTAATTTTATTAATATTAAGTGTAAAACTCATACCAAATTATACTGCAAAATTTTCATTTGTAAAAAGGCAACACCCAAGGTTGAATTTATCTTCAAGAATGCAAAAATAAACTGAAAGAGAAGGAAGCACAACTTACTTGTCTTTATCAGTGTCTGGTGGTGGAGGCCTAACCCCTGCCTGCTGCAATGTGTCCAACTGCTGGGTCACCTCCTCTACCCACCGGCAATTGACTAACTCGTGGAGGTGCAAGTTGGCTCTGCAGTGTGGACACTGAGGCCGTTGCTCCGTTAGCCAGCGCCGAATACAGAGGTAGCAGCACAACTTTGAGCAGTGAGGGCAAAGGTGGGCATCCTGGAGCTTCTCCATACAGATGAAGCAACGGAACACCTCAGCCAGGCTCTGTGGGCATGAAGACTCCTGTCATTACTGTGATACATACACTGAATTACTATACAGGTACCATACTTTGTAGTAAAACTATCTGCTGTATAAATATACAGTGGAACCCTGATTTCATACCTACTCCATTCCAGAAGGTCTTTCTAAATTCGAAAAGTGCGAAATCTGAAGTAATATTTCCCACACAAAATAATGTAAATACAATTAATCAGTTTCAGACACTCAAAAATATTAAAAAAAAAAAATACATTTTTTAAAGAATAAGTATAGTTTTACATACAGAAAACAATGAGAAATAAATAAAAAGCACTAATGAAATGGACAAATGAACCTGAAGACTCTTGTTGGCATATGGGGAAGAAGAGTTTATTGTTTGGAGACAGGACAAAATACTTAAATATGATGCTAATATCAACTCTATGGCTTATTTATCTATCACAATTCATCTAATATGACATAATATACAATATTAATAACATAGAAACATGTACAAGAATGGTATACAATACCGACAAGATGAAATTAAGACACGTGTGCAACATCTGGGTATCTTTATTGTAGACGTTTCGCCATCCAGTAGCTTTATCAATACAAATTCCAGGACATAACTTGAAGGCAGTGGAACTATGTACAGAAGATGAGGTAATCAGTCCCTCAACCTAGCAGTAGGTGCGAAGAGCACCATAGTATGGAGATTCTGAAGCAGAAGCAAGGCACCTGACGCTTTGGGTAGGACCTACTTCCACTAGGGAAAACCGCACTACCAGTGACAATGCCCTCGTCTGGTACCCGTCCCATTTCCACCTGACGTTACTATATAAGTGTCAGGTGCCTTGCTTCTGCTTCAGAATCTCTACGACTATGGTGCTCTTCGCACCTACTGCTAGGTTGAGGGACTGATTACCTCATCTTCTGTACATAGTTCCACTGCCTTCAAGTTATGTCCTGGAATTTGTATTGATAAAGCCACTGGATGGCGAAACGTCTACAATAAAGATACCCAGATGTTGCACATGTGTCTTAATTTCAACACAGAAACATGATATATACTCTAGAATGAATAAAATATGTCATTAGGAATGTGACTAGTGGTGGTGGTGTTGTGGGGGTTATCAGGGCCACTGACAGCATAAGCCGTATAGTGGTAGTGGTGGCAGCGGCAGCTCCCACCACAATTAAACACGCTACTAGTCACAGTGAAACACCACTAGTCACACAGAAACAATGTACGTAATTTATAAATAAGGAATATTGTATAAAAACATAATAGAGAATGTAAAGAAATAAAGTGGTTATTGTGGAGAATGTAAAGAAATAAAGTGGTTATTGAGATGCTGGCAGAGGTTTAAGATGGTGGAAGATACACAGGGCAGCATATGATGTCAGTGGCCCTATATACCTCCAACAACATTGGAAGATTTACTTTCATGTCATCCTTTTTCTATTGCTTAATTGCTTAACTTACTTGCTACACTGTTAATGCTACACTTTATTGCTGGCTGGCACTATAGCCTTTATCGACTCCTGCTGCTTTAGTATCATACATATTGTAGAATCTCTGAACAAGGCATTCTCCCCTCTCTCTCAGCCTTTTACCAAAAGACTGGCACTAGGAACTTTCTTTGGGCCCATGGTGGCTTATTTCTCAGTCACAATCAATAAACAAGCACAAAAATTGCAAAATATTTCAGATGAATGGTCACTCAACCAGTGACAGAATGGTCACTCAACCAGTGGGTGGATGCGTCTTATACATGCGATTCCTGGGACAAGGTCCGAAATTCAAGGCAAAATTTCGCACAAAAAAAAAAGTGTCTGAAATCCGAAAAGTCCAATATCCAGTGCATGCGAAATCCAGGGTTCCACTGTAGTATTATATTCGGTATCCAAAAATAAATTTTTATTATCCAATGTGTATACAGTAGACCTTTATATTACATGGTAGCTACGTTCCTGAAAATGCTGTGTTAGGTAAATCCATGTTAGATAAATGAAGGACTTATGGGAAAAATAGGGTTATGTTCCTGGGAGCCCCAAAAAAAGTCAAACAACTTTTTTTTAGACATCCAGATCTTACAATAATAAAAGTGAATATGTAATTGTAGTTCAATGTTGTGACGTATTATGTTGTTTTTACTGCTTAAGACTTCAAATGCAACAGAATGTGGGTGCTGGTGTGTGTTGATGATTGTGAAGAGAATGGAAAGTTATGCTGTCGCCCTACTGGGCTGAGGTCGGCGGTAGAGGTTCTGGTACTGAAGTTGATGGTTGTACTGGAGTGTGCATAAATTCTGTAATGGATTTCTGTTCTATTTTACCCTGCAGTACATTATACAGCTGATGGTAAGGCATCTGCTGCTCTAGACACCATTTCAGAACACTGCTTCTAGATTTGTCAAGGTCCTCTTCAGTGAAAGTCTAACTTTAAGTCACCTGTTTACTGTGAACTTATTACATATTTAAATATATTTAGGCATTTTGTGGTTGCTGAATTCCAAAATGGCAATAGGTTTTTCAAAGTGGCTCTAGCTTGTAATATATTGCATACCTACCCTCACTTATCAATTAACAGGGAACTTAGCAATAACATGTGTATATGTAGTGACAATTTGTATATGCAGATAGTTTTAATAAAGATAAGAATTGTTTAAATTATTTAATATTTAATGAAAGGAGTTGTATCAACGACCATATGACAATATTGTAACCTTTAATTCTGTTATTTTTTCCAGATACATGTGAGTTCTTCACGAAGAGCCTGCTTAACCCTCAAACTGTCCAAAAGTAGATCTACATTTACATAGATTTTCTCCATTTAAAACATGTAAAAAATGTAGATCCACGTTTGGAGCGCTACACGAGCGAACGTAGATCTACGTTTGGACAGTTTAAGGGTTAAGCAATCCCAATGCATTTTGCTACATTTTTGGCAAATACTCTTTGCAAAAACAAAGAAAAGATCACAGATTTTATAAAACAAGCACATTTTGCTAATTGGAAGTGGCACTTGGAGAACAAAACAAGTCTTGAGCTTCCCATACGGTTTGAAAAACCTGTGTATATTGCTTATGGCAGTGGAAAAAACAGGCAAAGAAAAATTTTAAACTCAGTGTGCCTATAGTGTGGAGAGAGCACCGAAAAAAACCCACGACAGTTGTTATTTCTGTATGAAGGTAAGAGCTTTCAATCAATAAAAGAAAGTGGAAATATCCTGATTTGGCCTCAGCAAGGAGACCTGTGCCACACAGCAAAGACATTCCCATACCAGTGTTTACAACACTGCCTGACCTTCCCTTGTCAGATGTTGAAGAAACTAAGGGTTTAGGATGTAACACAAGTGATAGCAGTGGCAGTGAATATGAAGTAAACATTTCAACACCCCAGGAGTTCTCCCAAGAAGAACTCAATGATCTGATAAGTGACCTGTGTCAAAGAAAGCATCTGAACATTTAGCATCCAAACTAAAAGAAAAGAACTGTCCACAACAAGAAGTAAAATAACAGCTTATCGGACAAAAGGTTGAACTCCTTCCTCACTTCAGCCAAGATGAAGAACTTGTATATTGCAATAACATCCCTACACTTCATTAAATGAGACTCGAATATCAACCAGATTGGCTGCTGTTTATATACAGCTCCATTAGAAGCTTGAAATGTGTCTTATTGCATAATGATAACCAATATGCATCTCTTCCAATTGCTCGCTCAACAAAACTGTGTTGATGACAAACATACAAGAAAATCGTACAAATAACGTTTTCATATGCAGTAATGAGTGGTTTCTGAATTATCATATTATGTTAATCTGTTATTATATAGAATACAATGCTAGTATGATACATGATTTGATTTGTGCACGATCTAAAAAATAATTTCAATGCGATTTGTAAGTTAGCCCCACCTGATCAACATATTTTTCACTTTTATGTTTTTCAATGGGATACCAAATTCATCAAAAACTAGAGCCAATCAAGCAAAACCGATGACATATTCAAAATCAGCACCACAAACTTACCTTAAAATCGGTGTAATATCATTGGTCAGAAAATGAGTGTTGACCCGTAATATATAATCTTTATTTCTACAAGTACATGTACAACGTATATAGGCCTAGCTGACATCGATGACATACTATACTACTATATAAAAGTCCCTTGTTATGTAGAGAATTTCAGGAAAATTAGGTCAGTTTCGTTCCCTGGATGCGACCCACACCTGTCGACTAACACCCAGGTACCTATTCTACTGACAGGTGAAGAGGGATACGTCATAATGTTTCCACCCGTACCGGGAATCGAACCACGGACCCCAATGTGTGAGCCGAGTGAGCTAGTAATCGAACTAAGGGACAGTGGAAACACTATTCACAGTTTAAAGAACAAATGAGATTGGGCTCTGGGATACCAGGAATGAGTTACAGGGTCAAGAACACTGTATCGACCCTTACCAGAATAATTAGGCCACCACAAATGATTAAAGAGGCGGGGACCCAGGAAATGAAACTGGATCCCGGGAAAACAAAGGCGAGAACGCCCACACAGGGAGACAACAGGTGGTATCGACCTGTACAAATGATATAATAAAAACATTCCCTTTGTAGTTGAGGCGATCATCGACCCGACACGCCTTAACAATAGGCGCCATAAACACCCAACACCTGCATGCGGGAGGGGGGGGGGAGGGTTGAGAGGGGACGAGGGAGAGGAAGGGAAGGAGAAGAGCTGGGAAGGATTTGGATGAGTGACGGGGGAGGGAGAACCAGCTTCCCAGTACACCCCTCGACAACCGTCACCTACTACACAATAACTGCCTCTCCAACACACACACAGCTACCACCACCAACCCTACCATCCCAACATGGCTTCTTCTCCAGCAAGAGGTAGACTTATCACCCCTTCTCCACATTAACTTAACAACACAGATGGAAGCTCAACCCAGGAGCTAAACGCAACACAACACAGAAGGAAGGTTAATACATGAGCTATAAGAATGTCAGGAAAT